AATACTAGTAATCAAATTTCTGACAATATACCTTACAGGCAATTAATTGGAAGCCTAATGTACATTGCGTTAGGTAGTCGCCCTGACATAATGTTTTTAATTTCTTATATAAGTCAATTCCTAGATTGTCCTAATGATATATTATGGAAAGAAGCCAAACGTGTTGTTCGATATTTAAAAGATACAAAATTAATTTCTGTCTTATATACAGCAAAAGTATATCAAGAAAACCTTTAATATTTGCATATTCAGATTCAGACTGGGCAGCTAATGTCAATGATAGAAAAAGCAAGTCAGGAGGCATAATATATTTTCTAGACAATCCAGTTTCATGGTATGCAAAGAAACAGAGCACTGTTTCATTGAGTAGCACTAAGACGGAATATGTTTCATCAACTGTTACATGTTGTGAATTACTGTTCACAAAAAACCTAGCAGAAGAATTGTTGAAAGAGAAAATAACTGGTAGTATATTATATATAGATAACCAGGGAGCTATATGTATTGCTAAAAATTCATTTAACGGAAAAAGGTCTAAGCATATCGACACAAAATATCATTTCATTCGAATTCTAATTGAAAACAATGTAATTACTTCACAACACATAAATACAAAATCAAATTGTGCCGATATTTTCACTAAAGCTCCTTCAAATGAAATATTTTTACGTCTCAGAAATATGATAAAAATTCAAGAATGTTGAAAGTAACTAAAGCTTAATTACTTTTTATATATTGTAAATTGGTGCATTTATACTTTAGATCCTAAAGTATAAATGCACCAATTTACAATATATAAAATTTTTCAAATTTATTGTAAAAATAGTAAAACTTGGTTCATGATGATGAAAAAAAAATTTATAATGTATTATGTCCATAATTGTATATTTTAATGTGTGGTATAAATGTTGAGTGTCAATGCTTACAAAAATAATCTCAACGACTAGTAAGTTACACCGAAGAATTGTGATATTTTTTTAAATATTTACATAATTGTCTTTTACAGTATCTTGAAAAAGGAATAAAACCATTCCGAAAGCTCGACAAAAAGTCAAAAGAGTGTTTTTTTAACATCACGGCCAATATTCTGACTGCAACCCTAATAAACTGTGTTGTTTGTTTATATCGACAGTCACTAATATCCAGTATTTTTCTCTATTCTATATATATATATATATATATATATATATATATATATATATATATATATATATATATATAATATATATATATATATATATATATATATATGTGTGTATGTCTCAAGTGGTGATTCTTGAGGATGCAGTCAGTCTATTTGGCCCACAAGACAAAGAAAACTCTTTGACTTACTGTGAACCTTTCGAATTTAATTTAATTCTTTTTCAAGACATCTGTTAACAAAGAAATATAAAAATTAACTAGTTAAAATTGTTAACTGTCTATCTTACTAGTCGTGAAATTACAGTTAATATTTTACTTTATAAAACAAACCATTTAAATTTTTTTTATAAATAACTATATTGTCACTATATATGTCATTGTCATGTTGATTTGAATAAATCTATATATAAATTTATATTTATTTATATATAATAAATTTATATATAAATAAATATACAGTTATTTTACGTAGAAAGCAAAACCAGTAACAATAGTTGTTATTGCATATATAAGCATATATAAATTTTTTAATGTTGGGATGTCGATAGAAAATAAGGTTATGATGGTATTTATTGATATGTTAATATGTAACAATAAATGTTACTTTATGTCAATATATGATTTTCTATTTATACATTTTTAATTTTTCTGTATATGTGTCATTTCTAAAAATAACCGCTTCTGTGCATGTTTCTGCTAAAGCATATAAATAAATAGAAAATCAGATATTGACAAATTAAGTAACATTTATTGTTACATAATAAGGTATCAATAAATACTATCACAATCTCATTTTCTATCGACATCCCAACATTAAAAAATTCCTTAAGCAAAACTGACTGGATTAATTTATTTTTTATCTACAATTAAATAAATAATAATAAAAAATATTGTTACTGGTTTTGCTTACCACGTAAAATAACTGTATATTCATTCATATATGTCCATTAATCAAACCAACATGACAATGACATATATAGTGACAAAATAGTCATTTTTTGAAAAAAATTTAAAAATTTAAAAATATATTTGTAATGGTTTGTTTTATAAAGTACAATATTAACAGTAATCCCACGACTAATAAGTAAGACAATTAACAATTTTAACTAGTTAATTTTTATATTTCTTTGTTAACAGATGTCTTGAAAAAGAATTAAATTAAATTCGAAAGCTTGACAGAAAGTCAAAGAGTTTTCTTTGTCTTGTGGGCTAAATAGACTGACTGCATCCTCAAAAATCACCACTTGATATTTAAATTAACAGTCAAGAATACCACCATCTTATATACACTGTGTGTCAGCCAAATGGAATAAATTAGCTAGTAAATAAATGAGGGAGTTCTCGAAAAAGCTGTCGAACACGTCGATTAGTATTTATAGTTGCGCATTTTTTCCCATAAAAACTTTTTATACGGGGTGTATCACATAACGGTGGCCAATACCCACTTGCTTGTTTTAAATATAATACCCTGTATGTTAATTAATTTTTAGATTCCCCAGATCATTTTAGATATTTTTTAAATACAATGTTCTATATCTATCTTTGACTGTTTCAGAAATATTAAGTAAAATGCAAAAATTCACATTTAGAAAAGAAAATTATCTATTTTCCGAAATTGGCTATAAGATATTCAAAAACTTCTAAATAATACAAATCTAAACAATAATGTCAATGTAGAAGATGTTTAAAATGCTCCCCTCAAACGTCTTGGCAACACCTTAGCCGTTAATAGAAATTTCTTCTAACGTTACTCAACATTTCAGATGTGATCGATCTAATCGCAAGCGATATTCGTCTTTCTAAGTAAGCTAAGTCAGTAGGTTTAGTTTTGTATACAATACTTTTCACATATCCCCATAAGAAAAAGTCTAATGGAGTCAAATCGGGGGATCGTGGAACGATCCCCCGTCATATTCGTTGGAACTTGTGGGTTTCAGGATACAAGTTGGCCAACGTTGGCACTACATTATTTCTCTCATCCAACGAGGATTTTCCCTGGACCAATAGCGGCAATTTTGCCGATTAGCATGACCGTGAAGAGTAAAGTTACACTCAACAGAAAACAAAACATGTTCTAATTGGATCACATTGCTGTCAAACATTGCTATAATTTTTTCACAAAAATACGTTCTCATGTCAAAATCATCTTCCATGAGCTCCTGAGTGTTTATAGTTTTATAGGGATGCATTTTGTTTTCTTGTAATATTCGAATATTACGATGAATAGCTAATATCGAGTACTGGGGCTGCTTTTGTAACGGATATAATGTGGGTGTTCCTCAAATTCAATCATAACAGCCAATTTGGTATCCTCACTTATTGCATTGGCAGCTTCTTTTTTTACTTTCCTAACATGGCCCAGCTCGTGGAATTGCTTATCTATTTTACTAATTGTCCCTTGAGATATGAGAGGCAAGTCAGGAAATGCTTCGTGAAATAAATGAGCTACTTCCATTTGCGTCCGTGTCTTATCTCCATAGCCCCTCATCTGTATAATTGTAATTTTGTGCATTTCTGTTAAATGAACCATTCTTCTGGCTTGCGGTTAATTAAATTCAAACGACTATAGCACTGACAACTACTTCTGTCATGGAATAATAAAACATTGGCGTTTTAAACCAAAGTAAACAATTTTTTGTTTTTTTTAACATATCAATAAAAAGAAATGCTTAAATAGTTTTTTTGAAAATAAGGCTATTATCGAGCACAAGTTAATTAAATCTAGCCCAAGTACTTTCGCTTAAAATAGCATCTTCAGGGGCATTTCGTCAAAATGTGAACTATCCGGCAAGCGTAGAATGTGGAAACAATAAAATTAACATAAATTGTACAAAACACTACACTAAAACGAGGACAAACAGTTTAAAATTACTTCTACGCTACATTCTCTGTCAATATCTGGAGGGATAATAGCATTATAATAGCATTATATTAATGAGGTATAATAGCATTATCCCTCCAGATATTGACAGAGAATGTAGCGTAGAAGTAATTTTAAACTGTTTGTCCTCGTTTTAGTGTAGTGTTTTGTACAATTTAGGTTAATTTTAATGTTTCCACATTCTACGCTTGCCGGATAGTTCACATTTTGACGAAATGCCCCTGAAGATGCTATTTTAAGCGAAAGTACTTGGGCTAGATTTAATTAACTTGTGCTCGATAATAGCCTTATTTTCAAAGTTCATTTATTCGAGCATTCAACCTCATTTCATTTAAATAGTTTTTGCTTACTTTATGATTACCAAGACCTAAATGGGCAAGAAGTATTAAGACAGTGGTAGCGGCTTTCGACAAATAAATAATTTTCTTTTTTAAATGTGAATTTTTGCATTTTACTTAATATTTCCGAAACAGTCAAAGACAGGTATAGGGCATTGTATTTAAAAAATGTCTAAAATGATTTGAGGAATCCAAAAGTTAATTAATATACAGAGTATTCGATTTAAAATAGGCAAGTTGGTATTGGTCACCGTTATCTGATACATCCCGTATAAAAAGTTTTTGTGGAAAAAAATGCGCAAGTATAAATACTAATCGACGTGTTTGACCGTTTTTTTGGAATACTTCCTCATTTATTTAGTAGCTAATTTATTCCATTTGGCTGACACACAGTATATAAATAAATATATATATAAATAAATAAATATATATATATATATATATATATATATATATATATTAAAAAAAAAATTTAATTTACTGTTTGTATTTTGAGAACTATTTCCGAAGTGGAAATTGAAACGTCAATAAACGTATTTTTATCTTTGATTGTGGCTTATTCGAAGTTAAATAGTAATTTTTATACATATCAATATACATGTACATATATACAAATATATCGGGATATATTACTTTACCTATGCAATTTCTTGGTCCATAAGAAAACGGTATATATGTGCATGGATGCCTTTTTGCAATGTTTTCAGGCAAAAATCGATCTGGATCAAACTTAAGCGGATCTGGCCAGTATTCAGGATTTCTATGAATAAATAGGGAGCTAATCGTGACTGAACTTCGACTTGGAAAAACCATATCACCTAAAAGGATTTGCCAGTTTAAAAATACATGTATACAGAAACATGAGAAACCTATCTAATTTTTTGTGTCTTTTCTAGCAACGCAGATAAAAATAAGCAGGTTGTCAAAATCTTTTTTTTATTATTTAAAAATACATTACCTCCATCGATATCCTCAGTTAGAATTCTTGAAATTATTGGAGCTACAGGAAATAACCTCAATGTTTCCTTTATGACCATTTCCATATATTTCATTTGTGGTAGGTCAGCAGGAAAAGGTCTTCTCTCTGGTCCCAGAATATCAATTATCTCTTCCAAAACTTTTTGCTGTAAAAAAATGTTAATTAGCTGTTTTTTATATATCTTCGTTTCTTTTTAATTGTTCTTTTTCTCCGGTTTTCATCTGTTATCCTAACGCCACCACAAATTCTTCGCAACGCCTTTCGTTTCTAGATATAAATTTTTATTTTATTATCTATTTTATTCGTTATCCAATTTTCTCAAGCATACAATGCCACTGGTCGAATAAGTATTTTATATTATTCGAATTTTAGCTGCCCTATATATACTTATTTATTTCACAATTTTATAATCTTTTAGTGTGACGATTTTCTTGTGTTGTTATATCTGTATACATTTCCATATATTTTGTTTTATTTCACTCATAAACGAGGCAAATTTTTTTGCTGCTTCTTTAAAGTTGTTTCGAAATTAAATTATTTTAAGTTCTATTTTTGTTCTTGTTAAGAGCACCTCATCATCTGCATGCGCTATGTGTTATTTTTAACAATGGAAAAAAATCCAGTGGTTTTGATCTTACTTACTTTTATTATTGCGTCCAATACGAATTTAGACAAATCACTAGGAAATAGAGCCTCTTATCTTTTTTTTTAACTGAAAACAGATTTCACATTTCAACTTTTGTAAAATTTGTAAACTGTACACCTGTACAGGACTTTACTGACAAACTGTGTAAAGGCGATTAAACCGATTATTAGTACCGATTAAATTAAAAAGCAAGTGAAGTCCTAAATTTCATTGTTAGCTGTTATTCTGTATCATTCTTAATTCTCAGGCTTTTAAAAAATCACAAGAGTAAACGCAATACAAGCCGCGCCTACTCTTGTGATTTGCCCACGCAGATCAGCAATCTTTATGCAATTGTATGCAACAAGCAGAAGAACGTATACATTGTAGGTAAAAGTTTATGGATCGTTACAAAGTAACAGTTACTTTTCGAATATCTAAGTAACGATGACTATATTGAAAAAAGACTCGTTACTAGTTACTTCATGGTTTCTTTACATTGTGCACTTCCCCCGTTTCGGCAAGCCACAGATGAGTTCGTTGATGTTCATTCGGAAATTCGGCGATTTTATTTAGATACTGGTTCGTTAATGTTGTGAAAGTTATTTTATAATAGTTAGCGCAATAATTGTCTAATTATGGATTTATTAAGTCAAAAAAGAAGCGCTATCTGGATACACTTTGCTATCACTTCTAATGATAAGGCGAAATGCAATTTTTGCAACGGTATATATTCTTATAAAGGCGGAAATGTATCAAATTTAAGAAAACATCTTAAAAATAAACATCCAACAATGGTTCTAGAGGAACCACTCGAAAAAAAGAAGCAGTCATCCTGAGAGCACTAATCCTTTGAACATGGAAGTAATGCAAGTAGGTAGTTTTTATTTTTCGTGCACAATTTAATTTAATACATACATATATACTTAATTTAGGTCCATCTATATCACTTGCAACTTCAGGTTTGGAACAAAATAAAGTAACACCGACGATGTACACTGAAGAGAAGGAGAAGCATACAAGACCTGCAAGTGTTGAAAAAAAAATTCAATTTCTAACCTTTTTCAGTTGTCGAGGATCGGGGTTTTCGTAAACTTTTAAATGAACTTGAACCGTCGTATGTTCACACAGAACAACATTTAGCAAATCTTTAATGCCAGCTAAATATGAAAGAAAAGTTCTCAAAGTTAAAGCTCTCCTCAAAACTGCTAAATATATCACATTAAGTACCGACAGTTGGACTTCTGTTTAATACAGAAGGATATGTAGCAGTTGCAGCACATTTTATAATAACTGATTGGCAGTATTATGGATGTTTACTGTCATGTTTTAAATATTATGGGAGGCACACTGCTGAAAATATAGCTCGTGAATTACGGCGAGTTGCAGATGAATGGAGCATTTCTGATAAAGTATACGCTATAACTACCGACAATGCGGCAAATATTATAGCGGCAGTAAAAATAACTGGTTGGGTCCATATTCCTTGTTTTGCACACACTATCAATCTGATCGTTAGGAAAGGATTGGTGCACATAGAGGAGCTGAAAAAAAAAAGTTAAAAAAATAGTAGAGCATTTTCATAAGAGTTCTCAAGCTACCGCTAAGTTTTTTGAAACTCAGTCTCAAATGAATCCCACTGCTACTCCTTTAAAACTAATTATTGATGTACAAACAAGATGGAATTCAACATATTACATAATGGAAAGGGTAGTTAAATTATGTAACCCATTAGCTGCCACAGTTGCTGTTTGCATAATCCTGTAAGTTTACCGACGAAGGAGAATGGTTACTATTACAGGAATTCTAGTATTAAAACCATTTGAAACTACACCTTTTGGGAAAACTGAAAATAATACAATAATGGGAAAATCCTCTTTTCTGGATACAAGATTTAAAACTAAGGGATTTAATAACGATGACTGTTTAAAGATGACTTTAACGATGAAGGTTAAAGAGATACTTCAAGAAGAATTAAATGGGCTAATTAAAAAAAGTCAACAAGACGATACGGCCCCAGAGCCTTCCAATAATAAAGATCAGTTACCGTTGACGGAGACGTCAAGTACAGAAATTGACGACATCATTTGGCTAGATTTTGACAACCTGGTCAAATCTTCAAACGCTGTAATAAGCCCAACGGCAGTGGCTACTGCTGAACTAAAAATGTTTTCAGAAGAGGCGAATTTAGAAAGAAAACAAAATCCTCTGCTCTGGTGGAAGAAAACAGAAAAGATATATCTATTGCTTACGGTATTAGCCAAGAAATATTTGTCAGTACTTGCTACATCCGTTTCACGTGAGCGTGTTTTTTCTAAGGCAGGCCAAGTCATTACAGAACGAAGGAACCGCTTGAAATCAAAAAATGTTGAAACTATTTTGTTTTTAAACTGCAACGAAAACCTATAATAAGTGAAGTACATTTTTAATGTTTTTTTTTTCATTGTTATTGTTATTTATTTTATTTTTTATATTTAGAATATACTTTTTGATAATTCAAAATTTCTGCTCTTTTTGTTTATAATCCTCTTACACATGAAATAGGCTATCATGCCTCATCTTAAATTGTATAGTTATGAGCTTACTTTTATTATTTTTTAAATATACATATACCTAATTACTTATTACTTTAACAAAAGTAACTATATAAAAGTAACCGTTACAAAGTAATGAATCCCAACACAAAAAGTAACTAATCCTTACCAGTACTGAAAATTAACTAAAGTTCACATCACTACCCTTTATATCGTCGCATTAAGCGATATTAAATAGCATTAGTGGAACTAAGAAAAGAGAAGTTTTTGAAAAGGAGGAGAATTTGGGCGAATTGATTTAAAGCTTACTGTTTTTTATTTTAAATATGCCACAATTTTCCTTTACAATAAGTTTAATTTAATATTTTGAGTTCCATTTCGGAAACCATTTCATGTAAATAAAATTAATTAATGTTTCGTATTTTAAGTACGATTTCGGAATTGGAAATCTAAACATTAAAATAAGATTATTTTAATGTCACATTGTGCCTTATTCCCAATAAAAATAATAAATTGCAATACGACAACACAATAAAAAAGCTTCTTACAAAATTATTTGGCGACGTCGAGTTCTTAAAGTAAGGACACTGGAGTAACAAGAATAACAGTAGAGGTGAGATGTTGACGTTTTTATCGTTAACGAAACTGAACCGCTTTTCGTAAATAAGTAACAAGTTGAAAATTAATTAAAATATTTAAGCGAGTACATAAACAAACATGCTTTCTTGAATCAAAGCAAAATATACTGAAATACTTTCAACGGCTTTTCAAATTTGCTGTAGTTAATTAATAACTAAGTTATTCTTTGCAAATATTGCATACAGCCTTCTCACTGTTAATATCTTTATCAAAGTGATGCCATAAAATACTAACATCTTTACGTGCAAACATGTTAAATATACAATTAGTTAATAAAGTAAATATTTAGTACTCACAGCATAAATTCACATTTACGTTAGACAGAACAAAACTCCAAATAAAAATTTAGTTTTCTGAATAATATAAAACGTAAATCGGTGACTCCCATGTGTTAATATTACAAATGAAAAATAATCGATCATTGCAAAATTCAGAAAGTCGAGCATAAACGCTGCATCTTCTACAAATGTGCATTTTTTGAAAATACAATTGTTACGCTTGTACTAGTTAAATGATTTTAACTGAAAAAAAAAGACCTCTTAATTGAATATTTACAATAAATAAATCATTTAACGAATTATCAATAAAGATTTCAGCTTCAGTACAACATCAACTAGTTGGCTTCCCAGTGAGAAAATAAACGGTTGAATAAAACAGTTCGGTGATTCAACGCTCATCTCTACAGAACAAAACTAGTTCTGTGATACGTCATGCGTATATCACGGTAGTAACAGAGAACTAGTTCGTAGTTCTCTGGTAGTAAGTTGTTCTCATAGATAAGAAGGTTAGGTTAGGTTGTTCTTTCATAAGGCATAGTCAATAAACACACAGTCGGTAGGTCAGTAGTAGTAAAGCATTAGGAAGGAGCAGATGTAACTGGACTAAAAATTACGTCTTTTAATTAAAAATAAGATAATATTTGGTATTTTCCAAATAATATCTTTAAAACTATATTTTCGTTTAGATTGGAGGTATATTGTAAAAATAAGAATTAGTTCTATAAAAATAAAACAAAAAAGATAAAATTAGTATAAAATTTGTTCTATAAAAATGAAATCAATCAAAAAATAATTCCAACACTACTGTTAAAATTAAAAATAACTTTAAACAATTAGAAATTCTAAACCAAATTCTTAGTTAATGAAACGTTCAAACAGACCACCAAATTGTAACAAAGAGTAACCAAATCTATTATACAAAGCATTCCTCATGGTGTTGAGTTCATCTGCCGATATATTTTGGCTAAGTTGGATTATCTTTCCCTTTAGTTCCTCCAAGTTGGTGGCTCGCTCGAACTCATGCCTATATAATTTTGTTTTTAGCATCCCCCAAAAATAAAAATCTAGA